GAGACCCTTCCAGCTACGGCTCGACAATTCGCAACGATGAAGTATCGTCATGGAAAGACACACAAGAAAACACAACGCGTACGGCATAGAACGCCAACATGAGCGCACAATTGCCGCTTCGCTCGCTATATGTTATGCTTTTGGGCCACTCGTTCTTTAGTTCCATGGCAGTCAGTTTTTTCGAGTATCTCCCCCCAGTTTTCCGATTTTCCCGGCACATGAAGAGACTCAGGTCTGGATCTGCGTGAACCGGCCAGAAGAAAGAAAACGCAAAGCAAGATCGGCCCGGCTAAGCCCGGTACAACTCGGAGAAACTGGGCAGAAGAGCGTCACACTGGAGACGTGGCAAGCGATCGGTCAGGGCCACGCCGCAAAAAAAGAAGCCGACGCCTTGTTTTGCATGCCGCGCCATGCCCCAAAGAACTCGGAAGAAAAATGTTCCGGAAAAAACTATGAAGAATGCTGGCCGGAAACACCGCACGGGGGGGGGGGGGGGGGCAAAAAAAAGGCGCGACTCTGGGTGGGGATGGTTCTCGTTTGCTTTTTTCGTTTTTGTTGCCCAGGCGAGCAGATCTGACCCCTCCAGGGGGGCATAGCATGAAGCGTCCGTTCCATGCCAGGTGCCAGGGGGGCATTCCTCCCAGTTGGTTCCCCGCTGAAAGGAACGCATCGAGCTTTTTGCAGGGTGTCCGAGCCATGTCCCTTTTTGGAACCTCCAAAAGTGGGGATCGTCTCCATGAAAATTACCAGCAAGGTGCAAACTTTGGGAAATCCAGTGACCTGTTTTGGCTTTCCAGGGGTCAGTGGTCCGGCACGAGCTTCACATCTCAGGACAAGACGCCTCCGCCCCGTGCCGCGCCGGCGATGGCGCGGCAAGAAAGCACGCTGTCCAAGTCCAGTGCTACGAAGAAGGTGGTGGTAGTAGCTTGGCTCAACTCACAGCAAATCGGAGATCCTCCCAATGGTTTTTGTTTGTAAGTGCCCTTCCCCTTTCTTTGTGTCCCTTCCTCCGTTTGGTTTGCATCCACCATGGTGCATGAAGAGAAATGGGCCACGAAGGGTTCACGTGTTCGTCTTTGTGGAGGGCAAAGAAGCAGCCCCCCGAGCGAAAGGGTTCTCAGATCGCCCAAGAAAACACCGGCGATCCGAAGGTTCCCTCGTTTCTGGACAAGCGCACTGCGGCGTCATTCCCACCAGTGGCGTCCCGTTGAAGTGCTAAAGCTACATCACTCAGTCCCCAACCACCATGAGCCAAAAAACATCCAGAGCGGCAGGGCGCCCATCCGCTGGATGTCCCAAGCCGCGTGGTGACCTTGTTGGCCTTTCCAGCAAAACGACTTGCGGCCAAGGACCCGAGCAAAAGCCGAGGGGCGATGAGTGTCGCCAGCAGCCGTGCCTTGGGCGATGGGTTGGGGCCGTGTGGCAGCCTGAGAAACTCTCCTTGATGGCCCTGATCGAATCAGCCCAGTCTGAAGAAACATAATTTTCCTGCTTTCGCAGGTTTTGCCTGGTGGGTCTTTGAAGTTGCACCCCAGTTGCAGGAGGTACGAGCTGGTAGTTGGGCAATCTGGGCACAATGTCCAAGCCACCAGCCACCAGACAAAGAAGTTACCCATCGCACTTGCAGACCACTTCTCAGTGAGGAGTGGTTGAGCACGGTTGCCCGTCTTCTTCGATTGGGAAGTGTTGCGCGATTCTGAGAGGTCTTGGGTCTTTGGGAGCATTGGTGTCGAAGGTTGGTGTCCAATCTGGCCTGTTGCTTCCTCTTGGCGCCCTTTTTGCCGGAGGTGATGGTGTTACCTTTGAATGTCAAAGGAAAATACTGCCTCTCAATCCGTGGGCTTGTTGCTTCACAGCCTTGGGGAGGAAAAAAGGCCAACACAGAACACGTGAACCCGCCGGCTTGACCCGAGGCGTTACTCACAACATCCCTCACTTGCGGAAGAACAGCCTGCTGGACGGCCTCATGGAGTTGCCCTTCTGGCATCCAGGCGGGGGCCATCTGAGTCTGGTTTTGTCACCAGGTTTTGGACCTTTCAGGTGTTGGTTTCCGGTTTCTGGTTTTGGTTTTGGTTTTTGGTTAAGCATTTTTGGGGTTTCCCTATTGTTTGACCCACGGCCAATTCTTTTCTCCGGCCGGCCGGCCGGCAAGAGGAGGCCTATACGCGAAGGGACCGGATCTGATGGAACGAACGAATGCTGAGATGACACGAGCGAGTTGGACCTTGTCATTCGCTCGTGACTTGCCCCGGTCAAAGCTGTGCCTCCCAGCCACAAACCCGGTGTCGCATAGGACGCTACGTGCACACCACCCAGTTCGATGCCGTGTTCTGCGGCGTCATTCTCTTAAACACCTTCGTGCGCCCAAGCTGGAAGATCATGTCACGCGGAAAAAAGTCATGAGAGAGGGCTCAGCTCATCACTTAGCTTTCGGTGCATCCATGTCATTCCATTTGAATTGATATTTGCACAGCTCAATCCCGGAATCCACTCAAAGGTGATGTCCTGCCTTCTGTTTGCTTGCAGCTTGAGCTCGAATGGCTCGGTCCGAGGATGGCCCTGGAGATGCAGTACATGGGCCTTCAGCGGGGCTACGAGTTGGGCTTCCCCAACTTCGTGCAACCTGCGAGCCGAAGCCTCAAGGCAGTCCGGCTCGGGTGGCGGACTCAAGGCACCAAGCTGAGTGGTGGAAAGCCTCCAAAGACCGGGGGGGGGGCGGGGGGCAGGGGGAAACCGAAAAGGAGACGGAAGAAGCGAACACGCTCACCTGACAAGAGGATCTATGTTGCCCAGGCAAAGACCCACGACTTACAAACCAGAGTGGTTTCCGCTACTTTGAGGATCATTCCTCGGATTGCTCAGGCGAATATTGGCAAGGAGCTTCATCGATTTTCGCCTTCCTTGCCGCGCTCTCAGCATGCTCCGGCTCCCTCCACTTTCACGGATGGCACGAGGGCGAAGGAGCAGAGGTTCTAGCCAAGCTGCTGTTTCTCCAGATCCCCAGCACTATATTTTCACCCAGCGTGGGGGTGTTGAGCTGTTGAACTGAAGCTGATTGGACGTATCAATGGTGTTTCTCCGTAGGATCTGCCTATTCTATAGTGAGCTGGCAAGCCAACTTTCAGGAGCAGTCACAGTGGACGTGCAAGACGTCACCAAGCTTCCAAGTTGTTCCATTCATGGAAGCCCCCCTTCCAACCTTGAAGCAAGACTTAGAGGATGAGGTTTACTTGCGCTTACTTGCCGGTGCTCAGCAGGGAACGAGGGAATGATCCCTTTAAGCCATCCCTTGTGGTTTCCTTTCAGGAAATCCCCAGGCTCATTCCCTCATTCCCTGCTGAGCTTACCCGTTTCCTAAGGAGGTCGTCTTTGGCGTCATCTACCTCCTTGAGCTGATTATCAAGCTCATAGGATTTAAGATGCGCTTCTTCAAGGACTGATTGGTCGCCCGGTCTTGGGCGCAGGGTTCGGAAGTGTCTGACTGGTAGATTTTGGCCCCAAGCATCTCCCTTAAATTGCTTCAGGATGCTAGCCAGATGTGCCCAGTGCACAGCATTCCGGTGGTCTATGGACAAGGGAAATCTCACTTGCCCCGCAACCCAGTTGCCCCAGGAGTGGTGGAATTGGTTTGATGGGATCCTGGTGGTCATGTGGCTGGCGGAATTCACCCTGCGGGACGTGATCCAAATGGACGGCGCGATTTTGCGACACCTGGCGACTGGGGGGAGAGGGGGGATGTTTGATGCGTCGACGAGATGGACCTGGGAATGGGACAATGTCGTGCGGCAAATGATCCACGAATCCAATCCTTCGAAATAGGAAACTATCCCAGTGATGACTTTTCCCAAAGCATCATCGAAGGGTTGGCAGCCTCGACCCATTCAGTTGGGAACAAACGAAGTTAGGCTCGATGCCACAGGCAGCTTCCCATCCCGCCGTCCAGCCCATGTGGCACTGGCGTTGGTCATTGGCGGGGAGCCGCGCTCGCAGCCTGAAATCCACGAGCTGCGCAAGGTGAAATCCATGAGCCCTCACCCACAAACACTCTCAACAGCGAAGGGACTTCTTCTATGCCATGGCATAGCAACTTGCAGCCAGAAACCTCCAAGGTGGAAACCAAGATGACGCCGAGCAGTTTGCAGGGTCTCTTTGGTTGACGCCTTCCCAAGCTCGAGCATGCATGCATGTCCTGAGGAATGATGCGCATGGCGCGGCTCTTGCGGCTCATACGTTTGGTGAAGACCATCCAAGGCTGGAAACATGAATCAACTTGTGATGGCTCCACTGCGGTTCCTTCCGCCAACATGGAACCTGACCGGGGGGTCCTGGAATGCAATTTTCCTTGTAAAGGGACGCCCCGTCAGGTTCAATTGGTGGGATGGATGGGAAGTTGTTGAACACTGGGCCGAGGCATGGTTGACTCACTTGCTGACCATTACTTTTGTATGTTCCTCTGTTTTGTGACTTGCAATGCGTGTCTTTCGGGCCCCCGTGCGTGTGGTGCTGAGACCTTGCCAGTTGTTGGTGTTGTTTTTAGAAGGCGTGCTTGCTTGTTTGCTTGCTGGCGCTTGCTTTATTGCTTGTTTCGGAGGTTTTTGCTGGAGTTGCAACAGCGGCTCGTCAGTAGGAAGAGCCAGTTGGCAGGTGCTGGTTGTGTTTATGCATACGACCAACGCTGAAGTTGGGCCCCCTCTTGAGAGTGGCTCGCCGTTTTAGGCAAGACTGGCCTTCCCTGCTGATTTCAAAGTCACACAAGGAGGAAAGGTAGGCATGGGTTTGTGTGTGAACTGTAGACCCCCCAAAAAATTGGTGTCTTTAGAACCACCCCGAACAGGGCACCCTCGAAAGACGACACAATCATGGATCTCCCGTCACCTCCATAGCTCAATGCCGCTGGATCTTCCATGGCAAGCCGCCGTGCCAGGCTTCGACGCACTCTACATCATGACCACCGCCCTGATGGGCAGTACGGTTTGCCTCTTTTGGTCCTTTATGCTCCTCGTCGGTAATTTGTCTTGTGCGAGAAATCTTTCTGGCTGTTGGGTAACGGATCTTTGGACTTAAACTTTTTGGTTTTCCGTATTGGACCCAAAGTTACTTCTTTTTGCCGAGGGGTCAACAGAAACCAAGAAACGCTCTGGTGGGCACACATGTTAGGACCATTGCTTGATCGAAGGGTCCCCATTCTTCAAGAAAGGCCTTGGCAAAAAAAAAGGCAACAATTTGACACCGCGACATGTCAGCAGGTTTGGGAGCAAACCCATTCGAGCTGCAGATATGTTTCGATGACGGCGCCAACCTTCGCTGTAGGCAAGGTCTTAGTGGCGCTTGCCTGTTTGGTGTCCGCTTGGGATGCTTAGATTGCCCCTTCGAGCTTGAAGGCTCTTGGCCCTTGCTCCAATCGATTCCGAGCTTTTTCTCTTGACCGAATGTGAGAAAGGGCGGGAAGTCCAAGTTCGAACTGGTGTCGCCTGACGGTTTGTGCATTGTCAGCTTAAGTTTGATTGAGGCTTCTCATGACGGTGCAAATCATGATCGCCTTCTTCTTGAACGAATCCTTGGAGACCTACTTCCAAGACAAGACCAAGCCGGTGGCTTGGCGACGCTGATGCCCGTTATTCTCGTTTGCTTCTGCTTGCGTGTGCTGCTCACCGGCCAAAAACTCGCACTTTCGCAACATCTGTTTGCTTGTTTCATCTTCTGTCCCAGAACTGGTGTTCTGTTAAATGAGTGTAGGTGTTTAGTACTTTGCTCCCAAAGCGGGGCACATCGTCAAGGAAACTCGCCCCCCAACCACCCCCCCGCAACTCCCCCCCTCCCCGCCCTTGGCACTTAATGAGGAAATGCTTTCCCGATTGATATCAAGCTTGCTGTGCCTGCCGCCGACGTCCTGTATCTTTAGTAGCTGACTCAAGGAGGCCCCGGAAGCCTGCTTTGACAAGGATTCCGGAAGACACCCGTTCCACACACAAACCATTTGCGCGCTCGGCTGGATAAAAGTTGAAGGTGGCCCTAGCTTGAGGTATGATGCCAACCAATGTCAAGCAGGTGCGCAGGCGACTTCTGCCGCTGTAGAAAGCTGAGGGCAATGGCTTTTTGGCCCCTTGCATACTTTGCGATGCCCAGGGCAAGCCGCCGCTCGATTTGGTTTGTCCATTGCTGCAAAGTTTGTGCAGCGTGCACACTCTGAGGTTTCAGAAAAGCTGCAGGTCTTCGAGTATTTTGGAACCACAGCTCGGGTCATGCTCACCATGTTCGAGCTCACGCTCGCGCCGTTAGCTTAGCTTTTGACAAAGGCCACGGTGGAAGGCAGGCACACGATGTGGCAAGTGAATGGTTGCCATGCAATGGGTTGTTCTTTGTGCATGTCCAATGATTACGTCATCAGGTAGCTCTTCATTTCTTGTTGGCGTAGTTTGGAATTTAGACCTTTGGAAGATTCCCAGGCATTTTGGCCGTCGCTGACTTCAGGCAATCTAGAATTGGTTGTTTGGATCCACGGTCAATAAGATCCTAAAAGAGCGGCTCGTAGTCAAAGCCCCCTCAGCTACCACCCCGAAACTACCAATTTAGGCTGGGCCGACTGAGGGATAGAAGCCTGACACAAGACCCGACACTTGCAGAATCCATGGATCAGAGGAACTGGCCAGTGGCGGCCCGCATCTTGCAAGAGAATGTCACAGACACTTGGATTGCATGACTTGTTTGGTTGCCCTCTGGATAAGCTTCTGGTTGCACTAGCCAGGCTCCGCCTTCAGATCGTGAGAATGTGTCCAAAGTGCTCCCTGTGCGTTTTGCGGTTGTGATGCGCGGAGTTTTCCAGCCAAGGAGCTTTGATAGGTGTCCTCCTTGTCAAAGATATCGCTTTGTGATACCTGTTGATTTGTCTTGGGTAAAAGCACTTGGGAGATGTACATGTTGAAAGGAGTTTAAGCTAAAGGTGTTTCTGCCCCATATCATCTGACCAGGGCTGACGTTGAAGCGCTCCCATGCGCTCCCCTTGACGCAAGGCAACAAACAGTTTGGGTGCAACCCGGACATGTGGCTGTGGGTCAAAGCCTGTCGTACCATTTTGGGGTAGGGGCACCACCCATTTTAGTCTATTTTAGTGGGGATTGGGATGTTCACTGGGGGTACGGGATTTTGACCCATGGCCATGTGGCAGGGTGCTCTTTCTAATTCCGCCTTCTTGAAACAAATCTACGGCGCCCTTACAAGCGGACGTGACGTAACGTGTTCTCAGAGGTATGCCTACACGACTTAGGAGTACTACTCAATTTTCTCGGTCGCCTACAAGCTCATCATCGGCTTTGCGGCAGTGGGCATCATCAACGGCGTGTTTATGTCGCACGACTTCAAATAACGTCTTGAGGGATCTAGGAACACTTGGTGGATTCTGATCTGACTAGTTCCATTATAATCCATTATCCTTCCCTTTCTCTTCATCGTTCTCTTTGTCTTTCTCTTTCTTGTTGTATTTCGCTTCTTCTTCTTCTTCTTCTTCTTCTTCTTCTTCTTCTTCTTCTTCTTTTTTGGTTATTCTTCCTTCTTCTTATTTTTCTTGTTTCCCTTTATTTATCCCTTCTTCTTTCTTTGGCTTCTTTTTCTCTCTCTTTCTCTCGCTCTCTCTTGCCTTTCCCGCACCCCACACGAGCTGAACAAGAATAAGATTTCACAACACCGAGTTGTTCAAGGTCCACACCCCAAGGATTCACCAAAAAGCATTAAAACAGAAGCAAATGTTTGAAGGAGCCCCGAAAGTATGCAGGTGGCGCGAGCGAGGTGAACACCGGAAGCACAGGTAGCCTCAAGAAAGGCGGACTGAGGTGGTTTGCGCACATGCGGAAAAGTGGATCTCACTCACATGGCCTGCTTTGCCCTCTTCTACCCCTGCCACTTTCTAGCTGTTCTTGGCTTTTGCGCGCTCAACGCGCACATCCTTGAAAGCACAGGGTAGGGAAGTTCTTGCTAAACTTTTTCCTAACACTGGCTGAGCACTTCGTTGGGCAGCCCACGAGTGTCACGCAAACGCTTTTGGGGGTGGGTACCTGATGGCACTTACCCTTAGGGAACTCATGTGTTGAAAGCCCTTTAGCCATTTATCAGCTTGGGGGATGCGCCTTTCGAAGATTTCACCTGTTCTGTCCCCTTGGTACTGTTATGGCCTAGTACCTTTCCAAGGGGTCCACAAAGGCGCACTATAGACTGGATCAAGTGAGTCTATCAGAAGCTGCGGGCTTAGCATTCGAAACTTTGGGAGTAGGGTGAATCTGTTCGGAGCTTAGTAGTGCTATTTCCGGCGCAGTTACCAGTGATGGCATCATGGTTTCCAGGGCGGTTTGTTTGTCTAGCCTTTGCGTTGAGCTGCCACCGTTCCCGTTGAATGCTGCTGTAGCGGTTGTATTCAGTACGTGCCACGTAAAAGCAATGCTGCCTAAGCCTAAGGGCTGTCTCTCTTGGATTCGCTTCACCCGATCGGCCCACTTTGCTCAAGGCAGGAGACATTCAAAGTGGCGGCGTCCGACGACAAGCTGATGATGAGACAGAAGGCCAGGTCAGATGCACATGATTTCACGGCCGTACTGATGACTTGATGGGCAAACTGGGGGGGGGGGGGTCAGGAAAGCTGATCCTGCCCTGTTGCATGCTCGCGGGAGGCAGACATGCCATGGGCTCCAGTGCGAGGTGTTTAGGTCAGAACTCGGAACGGCACCCCACTTCAGCCCAGGAGAGAGACCGCTGGCTTCACACGAAGAAGATGAGGGTCTTGTTCCAGGCCGCTGACGAGTCTGGTGATGGCTATTTGGACGCCTGGCGTGAGTTTGCATGTCCAGAAGCGCAGGGGTGGCGGCCCAAGCCAGCGGACACCATGGCAAAGGAAGGCATAGGGGGCGAAGGCATGTGCGGATCTCGCATGGGGAAGCCCTGCACATGCGGCCTGCCGAGAATGGCAACTGTCTTTGCCAGCCACTTGCGTGGCTTATGATGGCACGTGAGCTTGCAAATGGACCTGTGCAGAATCAACCGCACGGTGAGGGCAGAGCACCAGCCACGACACTCAAAATTATGAAACGAGATCCCCGACATCATTGGGCTTGGTTCTGGGCCAGATCAGTGACTTTGCTCAAAGCAGACCACGTGGGAAAAGACGGCCTTTGCTCAGGATCGTGAAGAGTTCCTCGAAATCATGAACATTCCGGAAGTCAGGCCGGGCAGAGTACCCACCATGCCGGCCTTTTTCAATTGGGATTCCCACGGCATGGGCAAACCTGAGTGTTGCTGCAACATGATGTCTAGCATCCCCCATACCTACAAGTGTGCCAGACGGCCCTCGTCTACCCATGCAATACAGGTTGCTGCCAGTAGTTTGTGATCCTATCTTGGGCACGGGCGTCACGGGAGGGAGGATGGCAAGACTCTTGCAAGACAAGGCAACGTAAGCAGGGTATGAATGACAAACCCTTTTCCGGTCAACAAGTATGTGCATTGCGAGCGGGCAGCCAGCCAGTGTGCATGTGTTTGTTAATTGATGGCCAGTGTTCGGTTTCGGGGTGGCTGTGGTTTGAGGTTGCAGCGCCCATGTTGCATGTCAAAGGAAGTGCTTTCTACGTACTTACTTTTCCATCCCCCTATTAATCCTGGGCTACGCATTGTTTGGCAGAGTCTCCTCGGGGTTGAGGGTTGCTTCGTGTTGGCAATGCGCAGGCAAGCTCATGTTAAATACCAGGACCTTGCACCCTAAGCACTTGTGCCAACTTCTTCGGAAACTTGATGGCTATGTGGTTGGATCTTTGGAAGATGACGTTTTGGGAAACAGTGGGTTCTCCATTGGACCCACAAACAGTTAGACTTCTTGCAGAGGGGTCCCTTTAGCAACCAAGGAAAGTTTCTGCGCAGAAAGGTGCTTCTCGTTTTCAACAGTTTTTGTGTGCCACAACCACAACAAGGGATTCCCTTTCTCGCCCCGGGCCACCGGGTACGCGACGGAGTCCCAATCAACCTGACGTCGAAGCGACGCTTCTTGCGCTGTTGCCCCTAACCCGCGGTGCCAAAATCGCGCAAAGGACAGCAGATCGTGGTGTGCCACTGTTTTTCTTTGACCTGTCTTGCCTCGATGCAGGTCATTTGGGGTTGTTTCGGGGAAGTCGGGGAGTTTGCCCCAAGTAGCTCCGACTATGTTTGACCAAGCATCCCAAAGATGTACACACTGCTTCGCTCTGACCTGGTGACCTGCAACATCCTGCAACAACTGTTGCTGCAACTGGTGTCAGGCAAGTTTGCACATATGCAGGTGCCCATTTCACTAGGTGAAATGATTTGTGAGGTCCACAAATGGTGTTCTCACTTTGGGCTCCCTTCAAAGACTCAAAAAAACACAAATCGGTAGCCTAGCATGAAAGCACAGCAGTGGGCCCTTCCGTCCTGAGTGTGCAGAGGACGTGGCTGGCAGCCCAAGAGCTTCCGGTGCGAGTGCCGCGGCCCATGGGTGGAGCTCGCGAGCATGGGACCCGTTTTTTTGTTGTTTTCTTTTTCGAGGCATTGCCTTGGAAGCTCCAGCGAGCGTTTCAATGTAAACTGGTGAGTACTGCAACCTCGGAAATCCAGTGAGCCCTGAACTTGGGGTCACTTTGGTTCTGTTTCTGGGGGTCATCGTCTTTTCCGAATCTGGTTGGTTCCCTTTGACCTACCTAGACGACTTTGATGGTAGAAAAATGGGGCTCGATGAGCTTGAAAACAAACTTGGTAAAACAACTGAAGTATGGTTAGGCGGACAGCCCCTGACTGCGCGTCAAGATGGTTTTGGCTCTGTGAAAGTTTCATGGCACCCCTTTTGGATGTCGCCGCGGTCACTGACCCAGGGTGTAACGCCAGCAATGCGAGTCTCGTTTCCATTCCTTGTGTGTGTGTGTGTTTGTTTGTCTCTTGGTGTTATGGTTTGTTTCCTTGTTCGTCCGTTCATTTGTTCGCCACTATCATCTTCTTTGAAAGACCTCCACACACTGACAAGGGTTCTATATGCATCTCGGGCACCTTGAGCTCCAGACGACTGGAGGATCGATCTAGTTTTTGTGTTTTTGTGTTTGGTTTGGGTGGGGGGGGGGGGAATTGTGACGCAATTCATGGGCATATCGGCAATGTAATCAACTGCCAGCATACGCAACTGCTGCCAGTCAACCATGTCGACACCCTTTGGTTTTTGTCGCCTTTGGAAAGTGCTGGTGCGAAAGTGTCGAGTAGTAAATTGTTCTGCCTATTTTATTTCGAGCTCACCTGGAGGTATAACGCGCTCACCATGGTACCGTTGCTTTACTTGGGAATCCTTTGATTCAGCTGTTGAAACCAGAGCAACATTTGCAGAATTGTTGAGGTCCAGTGGCAACTTTTCTCGGAAGCCTTGACGTCAATGACCTGGGGAGGGGGGGGGGTGTTTGCCAAAGACCCGTGAAGCAGGGAGTGACTCAGGACCCCAACATGCTCTTCAACCTTTTGGACGACGGAGATGCGGAGCTTACAGCAGAGCCACAGCTACCATTTGATGGTCAGTGCTTAAATGCATGTTTGGGCCAAGCCAAGCGACCCAAGCGATTCACGCACCTTGAGCAAGTTGCATTGATGGCCCGATGGAAGAACAGCCTTCAAAGGGGAAGCCTGTCATGCACAAAGGTCACCGCAAAAGAACATATTGTCCCTGGCCTGGCAAGGCTCAGGCAACACCTGAGACTTTGTAACAACGTCCAGGGTGCTCAAATTGGGAGGCACAGGGAACGCGCCTTTTTTCCACCCAAGTAAGAGAGAGCACCCCATGTCCAGTACAGCAACCGCATCTTTTAACCACACCTAAAGGGGCAGGGTACTTAGTAAGTGGCTAGTATAAGTCGCCTCAGTGGGTTAAAACCAGGCTGCAACCAGACTTACTAGCCACTTGCTAAGTACCCGATCCCAAGAATGTCAACTTTGGTGCATGTTGCTTGGATGTTAGGACTTCACCTTCTTTCCAACTAGTGGGTTTTCCATTAAACCACTAAAAGTTAGCCACTTATAGCAGGGGAGCAGAAAGCAACCGAGTCAAGAGTGATTCGTTCGAGCCGCGAAAATCCGCGAGGAAGAACTGGTGAAAGGCGTAGAACGCCTCAAGGGGACTGCCAAAGGCATCGACCTTGCCTCCTTCATGGCCGAGCACCGCACCTCGGATGAGGTTCTCAACATCAAAATAGGTGGTACATGGGTGTTCATCCGCCCCAAAATGGAGCCATAGGTTATGACCCATGGCCAACTCACTTGAGTTGGATCTCAACTCACTTTTAAGTTCTGGTGGCCATTTCAGTGACACCCCAAAAGTTTGGAGGTGTTTTTTTTCAACCCACTCAGGAAGTGAGTTCAAATGGTGGACCTGTCTTATGGCTCTTGGGGATTTCCAACAGGACAAATGCAAGAAATCACCCACCTAGAAATGTCTGTCATTTTGAGGAAGAGAAAAGTGGCAAGCAACGCCAGGTGTGCAGGTCTTGCGGCAAGAAACAGGCATGCGTTTAACCGGCAGTGGCACTCGTCGGTTGATTGCCGTCTCACCTCCATCAGCTCATCAGCCCAGATGGTGACCAAGTCTGATTGTGGTATTGTCGAAGCACGCAGATGTTGTGTAAATGTGGGTCCCTGGGCTGCCTGACATGCCTAGAAGTCCGAATAGCTGCATATCGCACGCTTCATCGGCCCATCGCCCAAGTTGCCCAGGCAGCTTTGCGGAGAAAGTCGCAGAAAAGCTCAACATCCAGCTGGAGCATTTTGGAGAGCAAAAGAAGTCGGACGACGAAGACGACGACGATGAAGACGACTGAGGGCTGGCTGGCACCGGGAAACGTTCAAAACGTCACGCCAACTCTATGCGTTTGTCTAGCGCTTGTTGTTGGCTTCATGTGAAAAGGTGCCAGCCCCTTAAGTCGCTCCAGCCGCTGAACCCCTGGTCAGACATATGCAGCAGCTGGGTAACCCTGGAGGGCAGTGGCCACAGACTTACACTTTCCCTCGCATCAGACAGCAGCATGTTCATACTTCTGGCATTGTTTCCACTTGATATGCCTCTACGTGACAGGCACCCAGCTTGCTGCGCGTGCCAACAGCAACAGTGCCGGCTGAGCGTGCCACGATGAATTGAACAAGATGTGTAAATCAACAAAAAGTTATGCCACTACAGCTGTTGGGTTGGATCTTTAGACTTCAGTTTTCTGGATAGCCCTCATATGTCCTGTCAACCTGCAAGAAGTGACGCACTTTTTTGCGGAATCTACACACAAGATGTGTGATTCCCTTTGCCCCGCATGCAGTGGGGCCCGTGGTACTCAGGCACGGCCGTGGCAAGGTACACAGATCCTGGCCAAATTTGCACGAGCTGTGGCTTGCTTTTGCAAGCTTGCACTCCTGGAGTTGTTTCTCAGTTTCTTTTTGCATGTAGACGACGATCAGATCGGATTCGGCCAGTTATTGGCTGTGGACAGCACTTGTTCCGGCGTTTGCGGTGGTTTGATGGCGCGCCCGTACCCAATGACCATGTAAAGGCAGGGGTTATTCTGGCTGGCCTTGAAGAGGGGTATTAAAAGAGTTCCCCCGACGTTATAGCTAAATGCTCCAAGCCAGCCAAGCCAGCACCCGTTCTGCCATGGAAACGGTTGAAAAGGCAAGGCATTGAATCTAGCTCCTTCGGAAGAACATCTTTTTCAGCACAGCCACAGTAGATATGCAGTTTTTTTTCATAAAGACACACAGTCAATTGAGTTTGCATACAGACACATGCATTTGAACAGCTAGAGAACATAATCTGTAAGCGGTCCGGCGCGGTGTTTTCCATTCTAACTAGCCACTGCGATGCCTCCTGGGTGCAGTTGCCAGCATGTGGAGCCACTGGCACACGCAACATGTACTGAGATTGATGACCCCCCAAGGGCAAGCTGGCATCTGGGATGCTGCGAGTAAGCCGACCTCAAAATTCGAGAAGTTTCACCGCACAGCGAGAGCTGATTGGACTAGATTGGCTTTCTCCACAACAAGGATGCACCTCATGGTACACATATCCAAGACCTTCTCCCGCCAGGGCTGGACTTGCTAAATAAGTCAGGAGTCTTCCTTCCTATTGCGTCAATGCAACCATCGCTTTGAAGCCCTGCGTTCGTTTGCCGAGTTGGTGCCCCAACAAAGGTGAGCCACAAGATAAAATGTTCTGGCTTCCGAGGCGGGCAGGTGAGGCAAGGGCAGAACTCTGTCACTGGCCTTTTTGTTTAGCGCGTGGGACAGACGACAACATCTGAGCTGTGCTTGTGAGGCGCAAGCCTTTCGAGTAGCATGATTCAATCATGCCGATGCATGAGCTTGGCTGATTCC